ACTACCAAAAGAGGGCAGATGATAGGGGAGGCAGAAGACTGGCCCTATCAGGGGGCTTTTCCCTTGTCCCCAGTGGACATGGGCAACAGAGAAATTCCTAGAGGCCTTCTATTGAAAATATAATAAGGGAGCCATAGGAAAGCTTCATAATGCTCACAGTTTTCAAGGGTTGAACAGAAGAACATCTGAACAGAGGCATGTAAGGCTGGGGCAGGTGGGAGGAAAGCTGAGTTCCAGTAAGAGGAACAGATAGAACACGCAGGTGCCCAGCCACTGCCCTGGAGCCCAGTTTTTAAGGCTGACTCCCTCAGTAGACCTGGCAGTTGTCTAGGAAGTGTGGGTTGGATGGTCCACTTTGGTGCCACCATCCCCCGGGGAAAGGGCTGCACCCAGGGTCTGCTCAGCACGTGGCCCTCTCCAGATTCTGGGGTTGTGTGTGAGAGTCAATTGCGGCAAGGATCTTCCCCAACATCTTGGCCCTCTTCAGGCACAGGATACTGGCCATACTGGCTGAGGCCTCAAACCGCAGGCCATTTTCTCTGTGTTGCCTGGGCCCCACCTGTCCCAGCCCCACTCTCATTGGCCTTTGAACCACAGGTGCTCCTTCTGCAGACAAATAGACTCAGCACATTCCCTTCATAAGCAGCTACTTAGGTCAAAGTCCAAGTGACTGAAGCTGGTCTTTGGGGATGGCTGGTCTTTGATGCTCCCCTAACAGAGGGACCTAGGATCCACTTTGGCTGGCAGTAGATATAATACAGGGACTCGGGGACTTGTTTGGGGCAGGGAAGTCTGATGTGGCAATGGAAACATGGAGAGCCCCATCCAGGATGCAGAGACCTGGATCAAGGCGGGAGAGGGTGTCTCAAAGCTGTGCCTACTCAGGAGCCCTGTGCCCATCTGGAATGTGTACCAGTAAAAAGGCTTCCCAGCACTCTAAACATGTGCCGCAAATACTTCCTGTGGAGAAGGAGGCCTCATCATTGCTTTTAGTCTGTTTACTCTTACTTTTATTTGTGTGTGTGTGTGTGTGTGTGTGTGTGTGTGTGTGTGGTACATGCATCCATCTGTGTGCCTGTGGAGGCAAGAGGTTGACTTCAGGAGTCCTTTTCTATCTGTCTCCACCTTATTTTTCAACACAGGATCTCTCACTGAACCTGGAGCTCACTGATCGGCTAGTCTGGCAGTTCAGCCAGTCCTCTGGATTCTCCTGCACTGGGGTTACAGACCTGCCATCTCACCCAGATTTATATCTGGGTGCTGGGATCCAAACTCAAGTCTTCATGCTTGTGCATCAAGCTCTTTACCCACTGAGTCATTGTCTCCAAACCTACTCTTGTTTTAGTCAAAGTTAGGCAGGTTCTCTTTCCTCATCCTTGACGAGTGTGATCTCCCCTGTGTCCCAACTACCTTCCCCATCATCTAAATTACAGCCTTGGACTTCTCTCGCTGCCCTCTGGTGTCCTGAGTTCCCTGAAAGCAGAGATGGGCTTATTCATCATGGTCTCCTGGTGGTGTGGCCTAGGTATGGATGGGGTGTGATAAATGAACACGAAGCCTTCCTTGATTTAGATCTTGGAATTCGACTAGAAAGGGCAGAGAGAGGTTACTGTCTGGACTGCTTGTTGGGAATGAGGCAGAAGCCCCAGGCGGAGCCAACCAGCAATAATTAGACATGAAGAAACATCTGCAATCTTAGAGGCTCCTGCAGATGTCGTGAACTTGAAGGACAAAGGCAGGTACTGATATTTCTGAGGACTCTAGGCCACTGAAAAGTCGGGCTCTAGAGTCCTAAGATTGCAAAAAACCCCTCCTTCAAGAGGGAGGGTGTGGGTGTTTTGAAGTTCAGTCCAGTAAGAACCTCACCTCTTTGAAACTGGGTCTTAGAGGCTTCCTTCCAAGTGTGTCCACAGACCATTGTCTCCTTCCTGCCTCCTGGACCCTCCAGAGGCCCAGTCATGTCAGGCATAAGGAGTTCTCAAGCTTTTTTTCCTCTCGGCACTTTAAATGCCTACGTGGTTGTGTATATTACAAGTTATGTATGTCTTAGTTAATAAAATAGTGTCTCCTCTCCCCAGCACCCAGTTTGGTTTATTCTGAGTACATGTGTGGAGTTGTTTCTTGATATACTCCGTACTTTAAAAATTAAAAAAAATTAAAACCTAAGGAGGATGAGGCAGAAATGGGAAAATGTCTTTGGGACTTTGAAGGAAATGACAGTTTCCCTTCCAAGTCTTCCCCAGGGACCCCCAAGTCAGAGAAGAGGATAGAGTGTGGAACAGTCTCCCCCTGGTGGTCGGTAGAGGACACACCACTCAGAAGTGCAGGCAGATGATGGCTTTGGTGGAATGCCATGAGAAGTTGGGGACCCTTTATATGGCAGACTGGTCATTTCTCTAGGAAGCTATGGAGTGGGACCTCACTTTCCCCATTCTGTGTTATCAAGGTAACAAGAGGCCTTGATAAGCTATGATGGGGTGGAGAATGCAGGCCAAGCCCATGGTCTGTGCTTGCTCTGGGCCCTTTTTCTTGCCTGGGCTAGATAGTAAAGGGGTGTTACGAGGGTGAAATGTGTGGATAAGGAGTCACTGGCTGTGGACTGACTGATGTGGACTGCCTCTCCCTAGGTGGCTGGTCCCCATGTGAGCTTTGGAATTACTAGGGAAACTGGAGACCATCCTGGATTTATTTCGAAGACCTGCAAGCTCCTTCTAAAAGGTGTGTCCTCTCTGATGGTTTGTTGATGTGAGTTATCCTTCTATAGAAAGAAAAAAACCCCATGAAGATGTCAGTGCATAGGAAGGAAAGACACACACATCTATTAAGAGGCTACTGAGGATGAGGCCAGCGGGAGCTACATGTGACACCTTGTCTCAATAAAATAAATAAATAAATAAATAAATAAATAAACTGCTTTATCAAAGTAGCATGATCAGAAAATTTTTGTTCAGATAAGGAAATTGAGGCTCAGTGACATTATACCCAGGATGAGACAGAAAGTTCCAGAATGGAAGCATGGGTCTTCTGCCCTAGATGTTATATGGCCTAGAGGCCTGGTAGGTCTTAAGGAGTTACTGGTGATATGTATTGGAGACATAGTTATTCTCTGCCCTAACAGCAGAGGGGAGGGGACAGAGAGCTTTTCTTCAATGGGCTCATACCCATCAACCTGGGCATTTCTCACCCAGCCTCTGTGTTGACAGTGGAGCAGGAGTGGCACCCAGAGCAGGTTGATTCAGCCTTGACACCTGTCCCAAGGGGCAGTCAACCATAGGCTGACAAGAAGCCCAGCAGAGGGCAGCCCCCTTGAGAAGCAAGGATAGTGTTTGTTTGAAATAGGTCTCATTGTGTAGCCCAGGCTGGCCTGGAACTCATGGTTTATTCTCCTGCCTCAGCCTCCTAGGTGCTTAGATTCCAAGTGTGAGCAACCATATTCAGCAGGAAGTACTTATAACAGTTTGTTCCTCTGGAGAGGGTGACCTTCAGAAAGAAAGAGGAACCTGTGGGAGCAGGAAGACATTGCCCATGATGTCGACAGAGGTAGAGCGCAGCCATAGTTCATGGAAGCAGTGTTTGGGGCTCCTGTACACCAGGTCACAGGAAGGCCTGACCCCACTGTTGGGTTGAATGCCCTGTGCTCATGTAGTACAGGCTATCTATGTGTGCCTCTTTCACAAGGAAAGAAAGTGAGGTGCTGAGTCTGTGCAACTTCCTCAGGGTTATATAGCAAACTGGCTCCACAACCTCTAACCTCCCTGTGACTGTCACAGGGGAGTCTGGGATGCTGCTGGCTGCCCTGTGTGTGCACTGGAGGCCCACTCAAGACCCTGTGGGGTTACATCACACTCTTCACCTCGTATAGCCCACTCCTCCATCTGCTGTCCAGTGGGAGCCACTTGCAGGGTTCCAGGCATCTCTATCACCTCTCACTCCACACACCTATCTGTTCAGCCGCAAGCAGCCTCCTTCCCTATCCTCTAAGCCCTTCCCAGGCAGAAACCAACAATCCCTCTGCTGTGCTATACACATAAACATAATTTTGGGGGGTCTTTTTTGAGGCAGGGTTTCTCTGTTGCCCCAGCTGGCCTGGAACTCGCTATGTAGATCAGGCTGGCCTCAAACTCACAGAGATCCACCTGCCTCTGTCTCCCGAGTGCTGGGGTTAAAGACTTGCATTACCACACCCAGCCTAAACATATATTTTTAAAATGTTTTGATGTATTTGTTTTATTTTATGTGTATGAATGTTTTGCCTGCATGTATATAAGGGTAACTGTGTCATGTAATGTCTGAGGAGACCAGCAAAGGGCATCAGATCCCCTGGAACTGGAGTTCCGGATGGTTGTTAGCTACCATGTGGGTGCTGGACCTGAACCCGGGTTATTTGCAAGAGCAGCCAGTGCTCTTACGCACTGAGCCATCTCTCTAGCCCCTACGTTTGTTTTGAGACAAGGTCTTATGTAGCCCAGGCTGGACTCAAACTAGCCATGTTTTCCAAGGATGACTTTGAACTTCTGGTCTTCCTGCCTCTACTTCCTGAGTGCTGGGATTACAGGCATGTGCTACCACACACAGTTTATTCAGTGCTAAGGACTGAACCCAGGGCTTTGTGAATGCTAGGAAAGAAGTCTACCAACTGAGCGCCATCCTCAGTCATTTTGTGCTTCCTTCTGCCTCACAACCTGCTTTCCCTAGCCAAGGGATACCCAGAAGTGACTTCCTGAAAGTGGGAAGAAAAATGATCCAGGGATGAAATGTAATGCCGACTGCAGCCTCCTGTGTGCGCGACTCCAGCACTGGAGCTTCTGCAGGTCCCCAGGGCCCTCAGTGAACATCATTTCTTCCTGGCTTGCTCAGCCTCAGCGAGATCACACTTGGAGCCTGAGAGTTTCAGGGTGTTTCTTCCCCTAAAGTCATCACTGGCACAGCTAACAGCAGCAGGAACAGACTTGCTGATTGATGCTCAGAGTTGAGATAAAGCTGAGGAGTCTGTCTCCTTTGTCAAGGTTATTTTATTAAAATATATAGGACTGAATATTGGTGGGCGCTGAGACAGGAACCACCCTCCCAGGCTGCATCCAAGGGAGACGCTTCTGCCATGCAGACATGCAGCCAGTCTGTGTCCCTGCATCGGGGACAGATCCCTCCTGGTTAGACGTGTGGCCAGAGGCCAAGGGGAGGGGTTGGGACATGGTGGTGACCGTCTCCTGTGGCCTTGACTTCTCACAATCAGAGGGACCCCAGTTGGAAAGGCCAGGCTGGGGTGGGGGAGATCCCTGAGCCAGGGAAAGCTGATGTCCTCTGGAGTAAGGTAGGGGGACCCCCGTCAGGCTGGAGATGAGGGGGTCAGTGCAGCCCTGAGGGGGTCCACCTGTGTATGGGGGCCTCCGCTATCCTGCATTTCTTCTGAGGACCTTGCTTATCCCGGGGCTGGACTCCTGGGGACACCCATAGATTCCCAGAGCCAGGCATGAGCAGAGATTGGGCTGTAGCTGATGGAATGTATTGTGTGGGCATGTTCCTCATAAGGGAACATGCTGCCTGGGACTCAGTCCCTTCTGGAGGAGATCTGGTAGGTGGGAGCAGCTCTTTCTCTTCTGTTGACCTGCTGGCTGGTCACAGGCCCCTCCAGCCCTCGTGGCTAGCCCCAGTTTCAGGGTAATGTGGACTCCTATCCTCAGGGCAGAGCCCAGGTAGACAGAGTCTCCCAGGTTTGTGCTTTAGAATGTTGGTGAGTTGGGCTGGGAAAGGGCTGTAGGACCCCAAGGCCCTGAGACACAGGGTGAACTCCTGAGCATCTTCTTCAGGCCACCATGTCAGGGCTGCTGGGACCCAGGCCTCACCCCGCCAGGGGCTTTGCCTTCTCTTTGGGCATGGCCTGAGCTGCTGGGTGTTTGTGCTTTTTGTACAGGTTAGGATGAGCCTGTTCAAGGGCAGCCACAGAACCTCTGCTAAGCCACCGTGCCAAGGGACTAGGTGGCGGGTGACCAGGGAAGAGGAGAGGGAAGCCCCCTTCCAGGCCCCTCTCATTACAGTTCAGGCTCCCTGTTTGCCAGTCTCTGAGCCATGTGGCCTCTTCCCAGAACCTAAGAGGACCTTGGGGAGGACAGTCTGGTGCTAGGGCAGAGAACCCCATCTCCCACATTCCCATCAACCAGTCATCTCTAGTTAATTAATGGTGTAGACAAATGGTTCTCTCAGGTTTTCCCATCCTGAGCTTGAAGGAGGACACAGCCCAGTGGCCCCTCACCATCCAAGCTTGCCCCACAATAGGTGGCCTGGCCCAGAGGTTCCAGACCCCAGTCAAGCATTAGGAGGACACAGCAGACTCCGTTACCACCTCCCCACTAGTCTGCCCCTTCCTTCTCTGCCCCTCCAGATTTCTGGGAGCTTTCTAGGAACACAGGTCCATGGACATGGAATGGCCTGATCCCTCAAGTGGTAGAAAGGACACAAGGGACCTTTGTTTTGGAGATTGGGCCCTCTTAGGCCCTGAGCCCCTTCTGGGTAACATTTAGGCAGGTCTGGCCACCCTCTGCCAGGCCAGAGGGACTGTATGTGTGCTTGTGTGAATGTGTGTGTGTGTGTGTGTGTGTGTGTGAGAGAGAGAGAGAGAGAGAGAAAGAGACAGAGAGACAGAGAGAGACAGAGACAGAGACAGAGACAGAGACTGAGAGACAGCGAGACTGTGTCTGTGTGTCTGTCTTGGGAGCAAACTGCTCACATTTTTGCAAATATATTAGAAAAACATTTCTCATGGAAGCTGCCTGCTCCTGGCAGGATTGAGGTTTCTCTGAGGGGAGTGGCAATGGCTACCTAGGGTCCCCTCCCACATGTCCTAGATGACGTTCTCGAACAGCTGCATGGAGTTCATAATGTTCTCATCCTGCATGGAGAGAGGAGAGGCTGGTTAGGAACTGGGGACAGAGTCAGGGTAGTGTGAACCCCAACCCCACCTGAGCAGATTCCTATCAGGAACCATGTGTCACTGGGTGGATGGGGTACTGAGGAGAAGAGGTGCAGAGGATGGAGGAGTAGCCAGTCTCATAGCCCAGGTGGCAAAGCATAGTCTGTCTTCTACTCCAGGACTGACCGTCAGGGCCTGGCCATGACTGATGGACAAAGACCTCCTGGATGAAGGTCAGGACAAACGCCAGGAGTGGTCAAGAGGTTACTCTGGGCAGGAGACATTGGTGTGTGTGTGTGTGTGTGTGTGTGTGTGTGTGTGTGTGTGTGTGTGTCTGTGTGTGTGTGTGTAGAAAGAGAGAGAGAGAGAGAGAGAGAGAGAGAGAGAGAGAGAGAGCCTAAAAGCCCAAAGAAGAGTCCAAGCCCTAATGTTACCTACCTTCTGACAGGTCTCCAGAAACTCATCAATGGTCACTACTCCGTCCTGGTTCCGGTCCATTTTCTGTAACCCAAGCCACATCCAAGGTGAGTCCATCCCCCTCAGGGCCTTTCTGACTCCAAGAGCCCAAAAGCCCAAAGAAGGCTCCAAGCCCTAATGTTACCTACCTTCTGACAGGTCTCCAGAAACTCATCAATGGTCACTACTCCGTCCTGGTTCCGGTCCATTTTCTGTAACCCAAGCCACATCCAAGGTGAGTCCATCCCCCTCAGGGCCTTTCTGACTCCAGCCTGAGGCTATTGCTAGGGGGTGGAGGGAGTGAAGGTCTTCCAATCCAGCTGGTCCTTCTATCTCCCACTTTCCCCAGCCAACTCCACCCTTGGCTACCTTCCTTAGCATCTCCTCAGGTGGCCTGATCAGTGGCCTCCCTCCTGGTTCATCTTGGCTTAACTTTCTGGCATTCTCTCTGTGCTCATCTGACCCCCTCACCTTTGGGACAGCCAGGTCAACTAAGGCACAGGATGGCCCAGGTGAACATGGAACCTTTGTTTCCCAGCCCTTCCAGACCCCATGGACTGAATGGAAGCAACTTCAATGCCACTCTGGTTGAGTGGAAGTAGGGAAGTTTGTGCCAAAAATGCTCTGGAAGGCACTAGAACACTGGCTAGGGCCAGCTGTCTATGAACTTGGGAACCCAGAGTAACTCACTCTGCAGAAGAAATTCCCTGAGGTGGAGCTGGGGTTTCCTTCACTCTTCAGGGGACTCTGACCACTGAACAGGGTGGGCAGCCCCAGCTGCACCTCCTCAAGTGTAGTGGGGAGGCTCCATGAGGGTAAGAGGCTTGCTGGGGCTGCCCCCTCCCCCAGCCTGGCTCACACACCTGGAAGAATCTCTCCACATGCTCCAGGGGTGCGTCCTCCCGCAGGATGGGGTAGGTGTGGCGGCCCATCATGTCGTAGATGGACTTCATGATGGCCAGCATCTCCTGGAAGACAGAAGGCCACATAAACTACTGCAGGAATGCTTTGGGGCTTTGAGGACCCCAGCAGAGGGTCACCAAGGGCTAAGGCCACTGCCAGGGCAGTGGTGAGTGAGTCAGAGGGGCCTTGGAGCCAGAGAGAGTGAGCTGAACCCTTGGTCCACCCAGCTGGCTTCTGACTCCAAGGAAAAGGTGGAGAATTTTTATGTACCAATTTCCAAAACAAGAAGCTATAGCAACTATTTCAGACAAAAACGCTTTGACCAAACCATATTATCTGTGGGACTATGTGGTGAGGGCCCAAGATAGGGCTAAGAGTCAACAAGACTGGCATCAGGGGAGAAGGGAGGCAGAGAGGCCAGGAGCACAGGAGAGGGGGCACAGGCAGGCCTGCTGACTCAGTACCTCTTTGGTGATGTAACCATCCTTATTAATGTCATAGAGATTGAAGGCCCACTTGAGCTTCTCATGAACCGTCCCTCGCAGCAGGATGGAAAGTCCGACCACAAAGTCCTGCAGAGGAAAGGGGAGGGTGAGGAGTGACAAGCCAAGGCTGGTGGACTTTTTACCTCACTGTGTGGCTCCGACTGAAAGTCACACTTCTGCAAATGAGGGTCCTCCACAGCAGGGTGGCAGACAGTGCCCGTTCAGGTGGACAGCTTGTGAGTGTATGTGTGTTAGGTTGTGTGCCCTTATGCATGTGAACATATGTAAACTCCTGGAATGTTTGAGGGTCAAGCCCTCCCTTCTCCAGATGATCTTCTTGGGCTGTTCTGAAAGAAAGGGGCTGTCCTGGTGAAGTAGAGGTTGGGGGTGTCCTGCTGTAGAAGAACAGGGTCAAAACACAAAGGACTCAGTCCCTACTCTGGTCTTAGGCTTTCTGGCCACGAGGAAGCCTGTACCACTGGAAGAAGGAAAGACCGAAAAACCAGAAAAGCAATTTGGAAGGAACATAACATTCCAGGAAGAAAAACTAAAAAAAAAACAACTAGATCCAGAGGTTTGAAAACTTGTATCCCTTAAAATAAGAACATATATATATATATATATATATATATATAGAGAGAGAGAGAGAGAGAGAGAGAGAGAAGAGAGCAGGAAGAGTTCACAGGGATCAAAAACAACAAAGGAAGGTTTGGCGGAGTAGGATGAAGAGAAATGGATGAAGGCAGAAGAGACAGGAGCAGAGAAGAGGAGCCTGGCCTACTCTAGAGGAGACAGCTCAGGACATCTGGAGCTCCAGGCAGAGACAGAGAAAAAGCTGGAAAGCAGGTCAGATGCCCCACCCCCACCCCAGGGCTGGCACCATGTATAAGATCAGCTGCCCCTGAACCCACAGATACAGGTCCTAGTGAGGCTTAGCCAAGCTGGCTGCCAGGAGAGCGCTCTACAAGCTTCCAGAGAAACACAAAGCCAACTGGGAAAACCAGTCAATATCAGTCATTCATCCATCCATCCATCCAGCCATCCATCCATCCATCCATCAGTTATCTATCCTTGTCAATCATGTCCTGCATACCTGATCAGAATCAGCTGGTAGGGCCTGTTAACCAGCAGCCCTGGAAGAACAAAGCCTGCCACAGTTCTAGTATGTCTAACACAGACAAGGGAGGAAGGACCAAAGACAGGTCTGGATACCCAGAAGCTCAAAAGTCACCTCTCCCATGCTCTTTCCAAGGAAGCTGCTGGAAGATGTACATTTGAAAAGATAGCAAAGCAAAGAGAGAGATAAGGGGTTCCAAAACTAGGGGACCTGACCCAGGGGAGGGAGGAAGAAGGTCTGAGAGGGTACCCAGCTCTGATGGAGTCTGGGCCAGAGGGGAGGGGTTCCATCCTATAGGAGATGCCAGACAAGAGCTTAGGGTGGAATGAATGATGACGTCACAGACTACCTGGTGGAGGGGTCATGGAACAATTGCTAACTGGGTAAAGTAATCATGTATGCAGGGGAGGAAGACATAATGGCAGTCCACTCCAAGGCTCTGCTGGGGATCACATGCCATCAGATAAACAGGGTCCTATTCCAATCTGAATCCTGCAGTCTGTTGGGAAGAGTAGGGAGTGGGAAAGGTGTGTGCTCAGGGAGGCCTGGCATACAGATCTAAAGGGGCAGACATGGAGAGCCACTGGGAGACATGGAGGCAAATCCTGACAATCGACTAGACCTATAGGAGGTGATCACCCAGTCTCCACAAAACCCACCCTGTCTGTCTACTGGTCGTGAAAACATGTCTAGGAGAAACAAGGTGACATTTCGTACATTCCTAAGCTTGGGAAATGATTACCAAGTGAGAGTGTGGTTTACATGAGCAGAGAAGATTCAAAGTCAAACCAGAGGCCATACCCCACATCCTTCTCAGATGGACCACTGGAGGGTGCTAGCACCCTCTTCCTGTCTTGGGTTCTAGAAGCCTTCAAGCTCAGCCATGCAGCCTGTGGACTGTCCTTGCCAGGCCTCTGGAGGGCCTCATCTGTAAAGGTGAGCAGCATGGTTCCATGTGGGACCACAAGTCTTAACTTCTTGTTCTTAATCTCGAGGAAGAAGAAGGCTGTTACATCCCCACGGCTCCTCTTTTCTGTCCCCAAAGAGGTAACCAGGACATATACAGGTTTTCAGGCCAAGACTCCAAGGATGTACATGAGGGTGGCTGGCAGAGCCCAGAATGGATATTCAGGGAGCTGAGTAAGGGCTGAGGGTGTCTATAGCCTTCAGGCCTGCCCCAAGGTGTCTACAGGGCTGCAGACCTGCCCCAAGGTGTCTACAGGGCTGCAGGCCTGCCCCAAGGTGTCTAGGCTGTTACATCCCCACGGCTCCTCTTTTCTGTCCCCAAAGAGGTAACCAGGACATATACAGGTTTTCAGGCCAAGACTCCAAGGATGTACATGAGGGTGGCTGGCAGAGCCCAGAATGGATATTCAGGGAGCTGAGTAACCTCCAAGGTGTCTACAGGGCTGCAGGCCTGCCCCAAGGTGTCTACAGGGCTGTAGTCCTGCCCCAAGGTGTCTACAGGGCTGCAGGCCTGCCTCAAGGTATCTACAGGGCTGCAGGCCTACCCCAAGGTGTCTCTAAGGCTGCAGGCCTGCCCCCAAGGGGTCTACAGGGCTGCAGGCCTGCCCCAAGGTGTCTATAGGGCTGCAGGCCTGCCCCCAAGGTGTCTACAGGGCTGCAGGCCTGCCCCAAGGTATCTATAGGGCTGCAGGCCTGCCTGTGATGACAGCTGACGGTGTTCACATCATGGCTAGGGATGCCCAATTGGGCAATAGCAAGGAAGCAGTTACTGGGGGACGAGGGGAGACAGTATAGAGAGGTGAACACACCTTCCAGACCTATGTTGGCCTCACTCTCCAAATGAGCAGCTTGGCCAATGCCTCAAGCAAGCTGGGTGGCCTGCTCTATGCTGGGTACCCAGGAGATGCCCACAGTTACAGTTACAGAATTGTTTGGATAGCTTTGTGCCTCTCTGGTAAAATGAATTAGCTGAATTAGAAAGGACCTGTGTGGCATGGAGTGTTAAGACACATCTGTGCCCAGCACTACCCATAGTGGGCAGAGGGCAGGCAGATCTCAGAGCATCCATGAAGGTAAGACCAGATGGGGCCTGGGACCACAGCCACTCAGGTCTGCTGAGGTTTGCTAATTTCAGTGTTTTGTGGTTGTTGTTCTCATATTGTCAAGGGATGGAAAGTCATAGTATGTTTTCATGCCAGTAAACTCTAATTAATAGTAGCTTGTCAGAGTTTATATGAAAGGATTGACGTTATGGTAAGTACTGGCAAGCTGACTTAGCTTTCATTTTAAGGGCATATGGAAGGTTCCAAGTCTGGTGGTGTGTTGAGCTGTATCTGCTGGAGCAGCTTCTGCACCTCCTGCCAGAGTAGATCTTTCTAGACTTGTGGGATCCTGGCCTGTTGGCTGGGGTTGTGGGGATATTCCTTCCTCCCTTCTAGCAAAAGACTTTCCACTGTAGAGCACCACAACCGGGAAGATTCTCAGGGGACCCTGCTGAAGCCAAAAAGCCCATTTCATATGCAGAGAAGTCCATGGAAGGCTCTGGAAGATACCAGTGCCGGATGACTTGAGAAGAAGCCGGAGCCTCCATTTCAGCCACTGATGCACGCTGCTTCCCAGACACCCCACCTGCTACCAGAGCTTCCCTGTGAGGACGTGGAAGTGATGACCACAGGAGTGGGAGGAAACCATGATCTCCCAAGTTCCTGAACACAAGGGACCTTTAGAAGCTGCCTGATTGTTTCTTTTCTAAATAAGAAGGGCTCTCTCAAAAGGTCCTGGCCGGGCACCTCACACTGGATTCTCTCTCCTGTTTCTTCCAGAAATGTTTGTGGCCTCAGGCAGAAACCCCAGAAACTGGCCACAGAGGCCTGGGGAGGCCACACGGTTCCCTACTCAACTCCTGTACGTGTTGGCTTTTCTGTGTGTGATGGCTTTGGTGTTTCAGGTGTTACTGAAAATAAGAGATGACACCACTGGTGCACACACGGGCAATGGCCCTCAGGGGCTGACAGGGACTGTAGGCACAGAGCCAGGCCCAGGCTCCCCTGCCCATCCGGTGTGTCAGTGTGGCTGGCGCTGTGTAAAAATAACCTAGTGGCATTATTGACGAGTTATTATTACCCCGGAGCGGCCATCCATGGCCTTTCTGAGCTGTGAGCTTGCTTGGCTGCTTTCCTGCCAGCCGCCCTTGGCCTTGGAAGCCAAGCTTCGGCACTGATCGATCAGACTGATGCTCAGTGAGGTTTTCCTCTCCAAAGAGGTTTCAGCTTCTCTCCTGTAGCTATTTTTAGGGGCCTGGGCTCCACAGATGGGGCATCTCTCAAATAATTGTGTGTGGCCAGGCCTGAGAGGAACCCACGATGGCACTGCCCGAGGGGAGTCCAGGCTGTCTGGAGTGGTGTGGGGGTGGCTGTGGCCAGCTTCTCCCAATCTACTCTGGGTAACACTGGCCTTTACTCATAGTACCTTGCTGGGATGACCACCTGAGGCCCTTGAGCCTGGATGTTTCTAGCCTGTTCACTAGTAACAAGGAATATATTCTGCGACTAAGAGTTTGAAAATCCTTTGTTAAAGCTTGACCCCTTCTAAACCTTGACCACTTTTAGAGCCAGGTATAATGGCTCATGCCTGTAACCTTAGCACTCAGGAGGATGAGGCAGGAGGATTATGAGTTTGTGGCCAGTTTTGGTCTCAAAAATCAAAAACAAAGGCTGGTAAGATAGCTCAGTGGGTAAAGGCACTTGCCACCAAACCTGATGACCTGAGTTTGATCCTGTAGATCCACATGGCAGATCCTGTAGATCCACATTGAAATTCCTGCAAGTTCTTTGATTTCCAAACACATTGTGCCTCTTCCTCAATAAATGATTAATAATTTTTAAACTCCCCAAATCTTGATTTATTTAAAGAATTCAAATCCAAGCCAGGCGTGGTGGCGTACGCCTTTAGTCCCAGCACTTGGGAGGCAGAGGCAGGTGGATCTCTGCGAGTTCAAGGACGGCCTGGGCTACATAGCAAGCTCCAGGCCAGCTGGGGCTACAGGGAGACCCTGTCTCAAAAAGAAAAAAAAATTCAAATCCATGCTGGGTCACTGTTAGCTGAGGGTGTGTTTGCAGCTCCCCTGACAGAGTTGGCTTCCAACTCCCAGAATGGAAGAGAATGCTGAGACTGGGGCACCTGGACCCCTAAATCCAATTCCCTGGCCTTACTGGTCCCATCAGCAGCCCACTCATGTCCTGAGTGACAAGTCTACCACGGATGAGTCTGACTCGCCAACAGTGGCCTAAGAAGGTAGCAGTGGGGTGAGGAGATCACCCTGAAGGCCACAGGAGCAGGGCAAGGGGGAAGGGTCAACAGGGACCTACCTCGAAGTGGATGGCCCCATTCCCGTCAGCATCAAAGGCGTTGAAGAGGAAGTGTGCATAGGTGGTGGCATCTGGGGGTAGAAAGTGAGGCTGGGGTTGGGAGGACTGCCCAAAAGTCCGCCCCCACCTCACACAGTTCTGCCTGGACATTGCAGCTTCATCCCCAAATGGGAGCTCCCCTCTGGTGAGTCAGAGGCAGCAAAGGCCCTCCAAAATGCAAGGGGTGTCCAGGAAAGTGGAGTGGCAATAGGGTCCACTCCCCAGAGAAAGAACACAATCAGGGCTTTGGAAGAGTGGAGGAAGGCCTGGTCTTTGGACTCACCTCCCTGGGGGAAGAACTGTGAATAGATGAGTTTGAAGGTATCTTCATCCACCAGGCCTGTGGGACACTCCTGCAGTGGAAAGTCACCCCTTTTAGTGACCTTGGCCACCCCCAGCTTCAAGCTTGACTCCACAGGGCTCACCTCTCTCCACCCTCTGGAGGGATACCCTCTGCCTCAGGCACAGCTAGTCTCCACTGAGCCCTGGACCGGGGAAGGGGAAGCCTGCATAGGGCAGGCAAAAGAGAGACCAGAGAGGGTGGCAGAGGCTGGTCTCTTCATGCAAGCCTCATGCCCACACTGTCCTTCTTGGCACAGCTCTGGAGACTCAGACAGAAGAGCATGGTGGCTTTCAAAGTATCCATTTCTGTCCCCTGCCCCCCACCACCCTCTTTAGATAGCTTTTCCCACAAAATGTGAGCCCTGCACAGACACCCTTGGGACATTTACTATGCATTGGAGAAGTTTCTAGAAGATTCCCTGGACCAGGGTCCCTCCTTCCCAGGGAGTCAGGGACAGGGCTGTAGGGTGGGTCCAGCTCTCTCCAGGACCTCTGCTGGGGAGACAAGGGGGCACTCACATTTTTGAAGCCTCGATAGAGGGACTGCAGCTCCTTCTTGGTGAACTTTGTTTGGGCCTGCAGCTGGTCCAACCCCTCTGGCTGGTGGCGCACCGTGGACAGTTCCAGCTCACTGTCACTGCTGTCTGGAGGAGGACACAGACCCAGCAGGGCGAGAGACATGTGGTGTGGGCAGGTAGCAGGACATGGGCAGCAATAGAGGGTGGAGGGATCTCCTTGCCTGAATGTCGTGTACAGCCGGAGGCTGTACACTGACAGAGCAAATGGAGGGGCTGTAATGGAATGGCATGCTCAGGAATTGCACCTTCCAGATGTTCCACTCCTCCATGGAGTAAGTCCCTCTCCATTCGCGTCACCCTGAACACGCCCACTCCTCAGCCACACAGGAGATTCTTAGACTACCTCCTCCATGCAGCTCTCCCTGACCACTCCAAGAACGGGGTATCCCTCACAGTCTGTCCAAGCCAGGTGAGTGTAGGGGTGTTTTTCCCATTTCTATAAAACCAGCACATTGGAATGTGAACCATGGTTGCCTTGGTGGAGGTGGGACTTCCGGTATTCTTTCCTAATTAGGATTCTATTTTTTTACATTGTGCAAATTTCCTTTGAAGTGGCACGCATCACTTTCACAGTAAAAAACAAAACAAAACAAAGCAAAAAAAAATATAGGTAACTAAAGCTTTGCGTGAGAGAGCAAGGAGTGCCCACTCCTTTCGAGTGGCGTGTTCTCAGAACGCAGCGCCTTCCCACTGTCACAGGTATATAGACTCATTGTATTGCCACCTTGAAACAAGATGGGTCTGGGACTGCTGCTGCACCTCTCTCCCATCAGGGGACGCCCTCAGGACAGCTCCCTGCACTCCTCAGCCTGTGCCTGCCATGCTAAGCCTGGTCTCAGAAGCACCTGCTGTTTCCTGGGCCCATGCACATACCCTGATTCCTAGGCTTCTATGTTTCTGGTTTTTCCTCCCTGTCTTCTTCAGTGAGGGACGTTTCCCCACGCTCCTCCCAGTCCACCAGCCCCACTGCCTGCATGTTCCCTTCCACCTCGGTGATGCACTGCTCCTGTCCCTAGTGAAGGTGACCCCTCCATGTGGGCAGTGGGTCCTGGATCCTCTTGTGTACTCATGCCCAGGGCACCAACAAGTCTCCCAATCTTTTCAAAGTCTTTTCTGTCTGATCATTCCTGTCTTCACATGGATATACTGGGTTTTCTTTGGGGGGGGGTGATACTGGAATTTGAACCCAGGGTCTTGCACATACCTAGCGAGCATTCTACCATTGACCTGTACTGGAGTCCTGAACATACTGTTAAATCTTATAATCCTTTGTTAAACAAAGGCTTGATAAGCCATGTGTAAGCCAGCAATGCCACGCTGTATAACAGTCCCACATGCATTTGTCCCCAGCTAAGGGTGCATGTGTGAGTGTGTGTGCATGGATGCTACTATAGCTACTAGACCACAAATTGGTGGTCTACCACAGTAGCATAGGCAAGCAGATATGGAAGACACAGCTCAGGGAGAAACCTTTAGTGGGTGACATGCACAGCGCTGCATATATGGATATCTAACCAAGGGTTTCCCTTGATTTCAAGGCCGACTTCTCAAATTGGATTATAAAATAAAACCCAGAGGTATGTTGTCTATAAACAAAATACCCTAACTATAAAAGCACACAATGATTTAGATTAAAAGGAGGAAGAAAGGACAAGAAAGACATTTCATGATGAGATGAAGATCATTTCATCCAGAAGACCAAATAATCTGAAATATATAACTTAATTGATGATAGCTTTAAAATACCTGAAGCCAAAAGAATAATAAACAAACAGAAACAAAGAAAAATGAAAACTATAGGAAGAAAAAGATAAAGCAGGGTCATAGTTAAAGATCTGAACATTTTCAGCAAATGACACAAGTGGTTATAAAAGATTCAGAAGCTACCAACCAATTTGATCTAATTAATATTTATAGAACACTATACAGCAGTTGTACAATACACATTACTTTCAAAGCCCATCCTGCGGTTGATACAATATACCAGATATTAGGACATAAAACAGATCTGACCACAATGATAATAAGTTAAAATTCCAACAACAAAACATTTAGAAAAATCTCAAGTGCTTAGAATTGAAACAATACACTTCTCATGAACTTAAGGAACAGAGAAGAAAATTACAAGGTAAATTTTTAATTGTGTGATGGCAAAGAAACAGCATGTCAAGATCTGCTGGGTGCAGGTAAGGCAGTGTCAAGAGGAACTGACATAGCCTTTAAAGTCCGTTATTAGGAAAGTAGATCATCAGCCATGCATGGTGGCCCATACATGCAATCTCAGCACTCAGGAGACCAAGGCAGGAGAATTGCTGTGAGTTCTAGGCCAACCTGGGCTACAGAGTAAGACCCTGTCTCAAAACAAAATAAACAAATAACAGAAACAAAACAAAACTCAACAACAAAAAAAGAAAAAGAACAGAAGATAGGTTAAAAACCAATAATGCAAGCTTCTAGATCTGAGCTTTTCAGAATCTAGAAAAGGCAGAGCATGGGCTGGAGAGATACCCTAGATGGTAAAGTACTTGCTGAGAAGGCATGAGATCTGGGTTCAATACCCAGAACCCAAATGAAAAAAAGATGTGGCATCAATGACATGTCTCAGTAGGTAAAGACACCTGCCATCAAGTCTGCCAACTTGAGTTCTAATCTGGGAACCCATGTGGGGAAAGGAGAGACCCCGACTCCTAAAAGTTGTCCTCTGACCTCCACTCACAGGCTGAGGCACATGCACACCCACACATACGTACAAATTAAATAAATAAAATGTAGTAGCGGTACTAGTAGTAATAATAATAAAAATAAAAGATAGGGATGGTGCCCACTCAGAATCTCAGCACCGGGGAGGTGGAGAGAGGCAGATCTCTGATGATCCAAAAGTTTCAGGCCAATGAGAGACCTTGACTCAAAAAACAAGGTAGGTGAGTTGTGGTAGGCCATGCTTTTAATCCCAGCACTCAGGAGGCAGAGGCTGGCAGATCTCTGTGAATTGGAGGCCCAAGGCCAACAGGGTCTACAGAGGAAGCTCTAGGCCAACCAGGGCTACATAGTGCATCCCTTTCAAAAAACTTTTTTTTTTTCAGGAAAAAAAGGTGAAGCCTGGCATGATGGCCCATGCCTTTAATCTCAATCCTCAGGAGGCAGAGGCAAGTGGATCTCTGTGAGTTCAAGGCCAGCCTGATCTCCATTGTGAGTTCTAGGCTGGCCAGGGCTACATAGTGAGACCCTGTCTCAAAAAACCAAAATTATTAAAATAAACAAAGCAAGCAAACAAAAACCAAAACCAAGGTGGGGGCCAAGGGGATGGCTCAGTGGGCAAGATGCTTGCAATGCAAGGCTGATGATCTGAGTTCAGATCCCTGGACCTTACATAAAAAGCCAGATGTGGTAGCACACATTTGTAATTCTAACACTCATGATGAGATGAGAGACAGTGACAGGAGAGTGGCCTGAAGTCTAGCAGGCTAGCCTAAGGACCACAGAACAGCAGGGAAACACAAGAAACCCCGCCTCAAAACAGGGTAGGAAGAAAGAACTGACTCCAAAATTGTCCTCTGACCTCCACATCTGTGCCATGACATGTACACCCACAAGAACACAGAGAGAGAGAGAGAGAGAGAGAGAGACAGAGAGACAGAGAGACAGAGAGACAGAGAGACAGAGAGAGACAGAGACAGAGAGACAGAGAGAGACAGAGACAGAGAGATAGAGAATAGCAAAACAATTCAAGCAAAGTAGAAGAAAAGACATGAATAAAAGGAAGGGCATCTCTCTGGAGGAGAGCAGGCATGGTGGCTCACACTTTATAATCCCAGCACTCAGGAGCCTGAGTCAGGAAGATTACCTCAAGTTCAAAGTCGGTCTGGACTATGGTTCCAGCCCCTGTCTTACAACAACAACAACAACAACAAATGGACTGGAGAGATGGTTCAGCAGATAAGAGCACTGGCTGCTCTTGCAGAAGACTTGGATTCTGTTCCTAGCACCCACATAATGGCTGACAATCATCCATAACTCCAGTCCCAGGGGATCTGATACCCTCTCTAGCTTCTGAGGGCATTGCATGCATGGTGTACTTACAAACATGCAGGCAAAACACTCATACACATACAAATAAAAGTAATAAATAAAAAGTTTTTTGGTCTTTTTGAGATAGGGTCTCCCTGTAGCCCCAGCTGGTCTAGAACTCACTATGTAGATCAGGCTGGCCTTGAACTCACAGAGATCCGCCTGCCTCTGCCTCCTGAGTGCTGGGATTAAAGGCATGCACTACCACGCCTGACTTCATAAATAAAAAATTTTAAAACAATAACAAAAAATAATGGTGATCAAAAATAAGAGTAAAGATCAATAGACAATAAAACAGCCAGGCGTGGTGGTGCATGTGATTCAAGCACTTGGGAGGCAGAGACAGGCAGATTTCTGTGAGATCAAGGCCAACCTGGTCTATGTAAGGAATTCCAGGTTAGCTGGGCTAAAGGGAGACCCTATCTCAAAAACAAACAAACGAACAAACAAAAACTTCAAACCAACCAACCAACAAATAAATGAAAGAGATAAATATAAGGACAAACACAATAAAATCACCGAGAAATTCAATAGTCTGGGAAACATATTTCTAATACATATATCTGAGGAGTGATTCATCTCCAAAATATGCAGTGAATTACTGCATTCCAGCAAAAATAGAACTAGTGACTCCAAAGTCAGCAAAAAACTAGGATCTTCCCCAAAAGAAGATCTGTAAATGGTCAGTGAATGCAAGAAAAGTTGCTTGATGGCATCAGTCCATCCACAGGAGAAATGCAAAAGAGTCAACGTAAGATGCAAACTACCATGTCAATGCCATGTCAGTGAAATCAATAGCACCAAATGTCTAAGGGTATGGAGCCGCTGGACCCATGCAGGGTTGTTGTAAGTATAAATGGGATAACCAGCTGGACCACTGCTTGGCAACTTCCTATAAAAGATACTGGATTTATGAACACAACAATATGGGATAAATGAAGATTTGTGGGGGGGGCTTTTTGAGTCAGGGTCTCCCTGTAGCCACAGCTGGCCTGAAG